GTGTAAGGTTGCTCCTATCGGCGACTGTCCAGATGCCATTGCGGCTATAATAGTTATCAATGCATCCGCCAATATGCGGATCAGTTGTTGGAGAGATGCTGTGAATTCCTCCACAGTTCTAGGGGCTTCAGTGTTTTGGCGGTTGTCTTGTGGGCGAAGGGGACGACGACTGGCAGACGCTGTCTTCTTCTTCTTCTTGTATTAACTGATGTTTTTGCTTTCAGTCCCGAGACTATTAAAGCTTCATCGGACGCAGAACCGGTGGGCTAGCCAGAACCCACGGGTTTGGACCCTCCGCTATGGGTAGGGTCGCGCATGTGCTCATGCGTGCGTTTAACTACTATGGTGTGTCATCTAAGGGCCGTCGAGGTCGCCGGTTCGGACCGAGACCCCGACGGCCGTCGACTTGTGCATTTAGCTAATCGGTGGCTGGGAGCGGTGAGAACCGCCCCGGAACGCGGGTGTACCTTGTGTACGCGTTGTGTGGGTCTCGCCGTGCTCGGAGGCGAGGGCGAACTGGTGTGATTGTTGTTAAACTAACTGTGGGTGTAGTGTTATCCGGCGGGACCCCCGGCGGTGGGGGTCCATCGTGTCTAAGTCCTCTTCGTCGACCGGGTCGATGAGGACGTTTCGCGGGCGACGCTTGTTAACGTTCGCGTTAGTGTCCGGTAGGTAGTTTGCTGCGCTTACCACCAGAGGGTTGGGATGATGCTGGGCTCTATCGAAGAACCGTTTTGTCAAATCTTTAAAATGAGCGCGAATCGTCGGGAGTCTGCAATCGCTGTGCAGGTCGACGTTGCGCTGATACCATTGCGCACCGGTTGCGCGGCGGATAAACTTACTTTGGACTACTTGCAATTCGTCAATGCGCGTAGGATTTATGTGTGCGAAGATCATGCATGCGTAGGACATGATTGGCCTTACGCAAGCTTTATATAACAATAATTTGTGCCTTAAGGGCATTTTACTATGTTTGTTCGTTAAATTGTGTAGCCGGCCGGAGACGAACGCGGCTTTATTTCGGACTTGATTGATGTGCGTAGTGAAAGTCATACGCGAGTCGAAAGTGACTCCTAGATATTTGACCGTTTTCTCCCAGGGGAGAGTTTGGCCGTATAGTGATATTTGCCCCAACTTTCTGTACTGGCGAGGACCTTTGTAACGGTGTGGCGGATGGGGGTTGGGGGTGCTACGGGTGAAGTGAATCGCCACACTTTTCTCTGGGTTAATATCGATTCTCCATTTGCGGAACCAATCGCCGAGGCGGTCGGCGGCGCTTTGGAGTCGAGTCGTTAACTGGCTGAGGTTGCGATCTGAGTAAAAGAGCGCCGTGTCATCCGCGAAAAGCGCGAGATTGACGTGGGGGTCTCTGGGTATGTCGCTCGTGTAGAGCGTAAATAACAGGGGTGAGAGGCAGGAGCCTTGTGGTACGCCGGCCGTGAGGCGGCGGCTTGTGGAGAGGGTGCCCTCGACTCGATATCGAAAAGAGCGGTTCAACAAAAAGGCCCGGATGGTGTGTGTACGAGCCTATCTGGCACTTTGAGTGTGTACAGCTTGTAAAGCAAGCCGTTGTGCCAGACCTTGTCGAATGCCTTTGCGACATCGAAGAAAAGAGCCCCTGTACTGATATGTTTCGGGTGGTTTAGGCCTTTTAGGATGTGCTCCGTTAGGCGGTATAACTGATCTGGACAAGAGTGTCTAGCTCGAAAGCCGAATTGTTCCGTCGGCAGAAGGCCGTTGGAAAATACGTGCTCTTTGAGCCTGTTTAACAATAGCCGCTCGTAGAGCTTCCCCAGACAACTGAGGAGGCTGATGGGACGATAGCTAGAGGGCTTATTGGCTGGTTTATTCGGCTTGCGAATGCCGATAACCGTGGCTTGCTTCCAGTCGTCCGGAAAGGAGCAACTGGAGAGAAGCGTATTGAAAATTGTCGCCAGTAAACAGATAAGCGGCCCAGGGAGAGCTTTTAGAATCTTATTACTTATATTATCTGGGCCCGGGGCGGATTTTGGTTTTAAATTTTTAATTATATCTTGGACCTCTTCGGGGGTCACTGAATTTAGAGGTTCGCCTTCCGGTGGAAGCGCAGCCCTAGTCTCGATTAAGCGGTCCACCTCCGTTAGGTGGGCCGAATCGGTGTGTTCGCGCGATGGCGTACATTGCTGCTCTAGGTTGTCCGCAAGGCAGACGCTGTCTCCGTCCTTTGCTCGACGTTTGTTTGACGGCTTCTTTGTTGGGGGGGAGGGAGGGGGCGGTGAGGTAACGCCGTCTCCGTCTCCGTATTGGTGGCTTGTACCCGTTCACGGGTAATGTGAGTTGACAATCTTTCGTCCTGTAATGAGGCCGCGGGTGCATCACGTCCGCGGCGTCTTCGACGATGGCTTCTTACTCTACTAGTAGCTGGGTTGGCTGGTGGCTGGAGTGTAGTAACTGTTGTGGTTGGTCTTGATAAGGTGGCTGCAGTGGAGGCGGCGCCGGCGACGACTGTAGAATGCGGGCGCACGCCCGCGGCAGGCTGTCTATATATGTCCCCCGCAGTGGTTCGCACTGCGGTAGGGGTTTGTAGTGCGGTTGCCGCTATGTTCTCGCCTTCGTTAGGCTGGGGGGGGAAGTCTGAGGTGGGGGGGGGGGGGCTGTCCCCCCGCTGCGGCTATCTCCGTTTCTTCCTACGGTTATCCATCCCGTTCTCTCATTACTTATAGTCGGTCGCGGCGGATTGATTGTTATCCCGCGTTTTCTTGCCTCTCTTAAAAACGCGGGACAGCGCCTATCGTTGGCCGGATGTCTTTGCCCGCAGTTTGCACAACGTGCGGGGGTGGTTAGCGGCACTGGACAGTTGGCTGCAATGTGGTTGTCTGCGCAGCGAACACAGACAACCGGTCTGTGGCAATTTGCCGATGAGTGTCCAAATTTCTGGCACCTATGGCACTGGGGTGGGCCTGTTCTCCCCTTCCACCCCTCGATTTGGACGCCCGGCATGTTAAGGAGCTCGTTTATATCGTACAGTCGGGCTGCTTCACTGTTATTGAGGCGCTCGAGCTGCACGAAAAATACGCATCTGCTTCGGTTCCTAATTGGAGGTATCAATTTTACGTAGGTCGCCGGGAACCCTAGATTGCGTAACGCATTTATTATGCTCTCTGGGTGTGTCGTTTCAGGTAGTCCACGGATGCCCACTTTAGTGGGGAGGTGTCTGGCCGGAGCATAACAGTACCAGGTTATGCTGCTATCTTCGTTGGAGGCTGCAGTCAAGTGTCGTTGGACAACTCGATATTCATGCCCCGATTGGGGTAGAAAGCGGATGCCTTTCCCGAAAGCTCGCGCGTTCGGCGCGTGTCCGAGCTTGTTTTTAAGCGCCAAAAAATGGTGAGCCCAATCGGGCAGTTTTTCGACGATAATAGGAGGATATCCCTTTTTTGTGGTGTCTTCTTCGGGAGCTGCAGGTGCTTGCTCCTCCGTCTGAGCAGATGTCGACGGTGTTGGCTGCACAGGCGATCTTGTTATGGCTGCATAGGATGTACTTTCTCGTACTGTTTCCATGCGCTCGGATGGCGCTTGTACTGAGTCGTACGAGGGCGATCTTGGCGGCTGTGAATATCGCGTAGTGTTGGTATTCCTGTGTTCGTTTTCATATTGGTCGTCTTGCGGTGCGGTGTCCATTTCTTCGACGCATTGCCGCTTTTCTAGTAGCGATGCGTCGGTTTCGGGCGGCGTATGTCACCTGCGGGTCTTCCTGGGGTGGTACGTCTTGGCCGGGGTGGATACGTACTTAGACGCACCACCGTCGGCCTTGACTTCCGCCACCTCTGAGACGCTTGCGGCGCTTCTACGGTATTCTTCTTCGCTGGTCGATAAGTATTCTTCGGCTACTTGGTAGCGCTGTGGCTGTGGACTCAACAGCTGTCTTGGGAGCTCAGCTTCCTCGACGTCCTGTTGGTCCATGGCAACAGGTGTGCGCGTTCTCCTGCGAGGTTTGGGGGGCGATATGCCCTCCATCGTTCGCGGCTCCGTCACGGCCCGTTGTTGCGGGCGGCGTCAATCCCCAGGCGAGCGATGTACCTTGCTCCCCTCAGCGCGGGCCACTTAGCCGGGTGAGACCCCTAGGGGAGGCCCAGCGAAGCGCCCAGCGAGCGGGGAGAGGTATCAAGGCCGCAGTGTAAGGCGGGATTCGTCGCGCTTCCAAGCGCGCGCACTGCCTGCCCCTTTCCAAGGAAAGGGGGGACACAGTGCGAGGTCGCACACGTAGTCTCGCTGTCGCGGGGGTACGTGGTCTCGGCGAGGCGTGTACGGCGCACACGTTCCGGACAAGGTGGCCTAGGCTGCTCGACGCTTCACGGAGTTAATACCTCGACGTTAGGCGGAGTGGCTTCGGCGGACTTCGGCTGGATGGCTTCAATAACTCACGATGTCGCAGAACGGGCGCTTTCATTCAACGCATTCATATGCTTTGTGGCTTTACAAATGCACTTTACGTTACAGTTTTATACGTAACGGGGTTCTAAAAATGTTTGTTTTGTAAAATTTAATAACTCGGTAAATATTGATGTTTAAAGAATGTAAATGCTTTATACAATTTTAAAAAGTTGTCCTCTTTACGTTGTGTTCATTTATTGTCGCCGTTGTAACGACACGCTGTATAACGCATAAATACATACAACTAGTTCTGTTGATCTTAAGCATATTTTTACACGCCTTTGAAAGAGCACTGATTCTTTGCTTTACTGATTTCGAGAGATATTGCATTCCACAGAACTAACAATTAAGAAGAAAAAACGTTGAGAAGGGCGCAGTAGAAGATTATTATGCATTGAGCGCAGATTTTTATTGTTTGTAGAAGAGAGATATTGAAAGTGAGAAAACAAATAAGATGGGGTGGATGAAGAAAGGAATAAAGGGTGGACCCATAAAGAGCGTCATTGGGGAATAGTTAATCTCCCAAGTCTATTTAAACCTTCTAATTTTAGATTCACCAAGGGACGCTAGAAAAAAAATTTACTTACCGAATGGTGGCTCGAATCTACAGTCAAGCAAAAGCGCGTGACCCGTGGGTCCTGTCGTCCCCACCACCGCTCCTCCCCGCATGATCAACTGTGCTTCTAGTTCTACCCAGCGACCTCCACACTCCTGCTGGATTAAAATAATTACTAGATCAGTAGATGGCTGTAAAGGGCTGCGGCCTTCTCCCAGGATTCGCTAAGGCTCAGTGCAGGTGGCGACAACATTAAGTTCTTCACAGGATCCCGCGTAGATCTGTCGAAGAAGCCTCCTTGTAGGGACGTTTTCAGTACATAAATTTCACGTGAAAAAACACCAACATCCGTAACAATTATCTCTGTGTCATACAAATAGTTGTCCCGTGTGGAAAAATCCCATGTGCTTAATGTTTTCCTAAAGTAAGGGAAATGTTTTAAAAAAGGAGAAAGAAGGAGAATGTTTTATTACAACTGAGAGAATATAGATTAACAATTTATATTGATACCCAAAATAAATAGCTGATCCTTAAAACTGCAAAATTATAATCGAAGGTGTAAAAAGGATAAATATTAACACAACATTAATCATAAAAAGTTATTACCTCGTTATAGGCTACCGAAGTAAGGGGCAGGTAGTGGTATCCAAGTGCCCGGTCCCAAATGACGCCTTTATTCCACACTTCCACGAGGAGCCCCAAATTGATGTCGTTGATTTCACTGTCGAGAGAAAATCGTTAATCGAAAATAGAACATAGAACATTGAAAAACATTTTAATGTTTTTCAATATTCTACGTCAACCTTTACTGGGTGACGACGGTGTTGTAACGTCATCGTTAATATATAATACGTTTTCATATTACGTATGTATGCACTTCCTAATCGAAATTGTGGACACTACAAACTATTATGTCATAATAAATGCGAAATGCGGCGTCAAGCCCATGATAATGAAAAGTTCATACCTTGCAAACTACCGCTGAACATACTTTGATGAAACTTACGTCAGTCGTTTCTTAAGTTGAGAGTTTATTAATAAAATACAAAGGATCAGTAAGAGTACTGTAATTCTACTTCTGGTTTCACAAAAACAAAATTGACATGCCCACTTTATTACACTAACAAATGGTTTTGATCTCATCTAATATATATCCTTATATGGTGACATTGTTCATGTATCGTTCACACACAAATACATTAAGCTCACGCCTTTATTCCGTAGTGGTTAAAATATCCGAATACATTATAATAAAATCTTCGTCCAGTGGTTGCTGCAGAATGTGATAGTAGCAGAATATCTTTGACAATAAATCTTTACACAAATGTACTTTCAAAACTATCTGTCAAAAGATCTATCTCATTATCACTTCTTTCTTTCCCGACAGCATCTGTTGGTTCGCATAGCTTGTAAAAGTTCGCTTCAAATGTTTCGACAATCCACGGAATAATCTAACTTAAAAACAATTTAAATTTTTCCCAGTTTTGTTTCCGTAGCCTCTCTTTCATTTCGCTCAAATTGTCTATATAACAAAAGTAATTTACGGATTTTATTGTGAATAATTCGGATTTTAAATTATCGTTACATTTCTAGTAATTTATTACTGAATTGTTGTACCCTAATTATGGACCCATATTTTAAATAATAAAAAGAAATGTTTCATCTTTTTGTTTTATATCGCACAGTGAATTGCATTATGTTATATCCTATTATTTAGTCGTGTTAGCTCATTGTCCGGATACTCGCTTTTAATTCAAAATATTCGAGCAACCTGAGTTCGATCCCCAGTGTTGGCACCAATGCAATTGTTAATTGCGCTGCCTTATAACGTGCTCAGCTATGAAGGAAAACATCATGAGGAAAACTTTCGAAATGATAACAAAAAATATATATATTTCGACGATACGTATAAAAATCCGCTCTAATCCGCAATGGGGCCGGTTGGTTGACTATGCCCTAATACCCTCCACAGAGGAGGTTATATCTAATAGAAACTATACTACCAATGTGAGAAATTTCCCTATTTTAATTGAAAGTTATTTACATGTTTTAGTAAAAAAAAATTAATGTAAACTGTTACTACTAGGTATATAGGCACACAGCTGACGCAAGTGAAATAGTGGCATAAAATTTACATCTGTTACGAGGCGTCATGGCATCTCGACTTATAAGATACATAAATATATAACCTAAAATTTTCACGGTGGTAGGGCCACGCAGCAGCCTCGGCTGTTGAACGAATGGTTAGGCTAGTCCGGGTAAATACCACGACCTCACAGAAGACCGGCGTAAAGTGGAAGTAAAATACTTTTGCGTTTCATCTGGTGAGTGTGATGGCCGGAGCCCAATTTTCAAAGATTGTCAACGCATCTGGAACCCTCGGGTGTAGCAGATGTCGATGGGCGGCGGTATTCACTTAACATCAGGTGAACCGTCTGGTCACTTGGCAACTTTTCACATAAAAAAATGGATATAACAAAAAAAAAGTGAAATATGGCATTTGAAGTTTCTCATAATCAATATTCCAAGGTTTGTAGGTAACACAAATGAACCAGGCTTAAGTGTCTACAAGAAACATTTTTTATCTATTTACGCTTACTATTACGGCTTAAGGAAACCTTGTAGTGAAAGGCAAGTGAGGCTTACTGGAAGGGCAGATCGTTTAATATTATTTTCGTAAACTATCACTTACCTAACACACGGTAGAAAGGTGACCGGTACTCACTTATAGTTCGCTATATTCGAGACACGTAAATTCACATGTCGATGCCAAAGAAAATGTTAATTGAAGTTTTTAGTGCTGATTTGTTTTGAAAATAATGTGGGGCGACACTATTAATTCTTTGATATCTATCAAAGAATTAAAAAAACCGGTCAAGTACAAGTTGGACTCGCGCACGAAGGATTCCGTACCATTATCTATAATAACGGCAAAAAATCATGTTGTATGGGAGCCCCACTTAAATACTTTTTATTCTGTTTTTTGTTATAGAAGCAACAGAAATACATAATCTGCGAAAATAAACTGTCTCAACGATCAACTATCACGGTTCATGAGTTACCGCCTGGTAACAGACAGACAGACAGACAGACAGGCAGACCAACAGACTGACAGACAGATAGCGTAGTCTTAGTTTAGGATCCCGTTTTACCTTTTGGGTACGGAACCCTAAAAGGATAGAAATAAGAAAAACTATTTCTAAGAAACGTTGAATCTGCGGATCCGTAACGGGCCTTGATAGATTGTATCCTAAACACAGAATGTCCTATATCTAGGGGGGATCCCTGCCCAGTCACTATGATGATATTTGATGATATATGATATATTGAGTGACAAGTGCTCTATAGCCTTTATAAAGGATATTTTTTTTTATTTCTATTTATTTATTTTATGCGAAAAGTTGTCAAACGAGCAGACGGTTCACCTGATGTTAAGTGAATACCGCCGCCCATGGACATCTGCCACGCCCGATGGTTACGGAAGCGTTGACAATCTTTTGATAATTGGGTTCCGACTACCTCACTCACCAGACGAAACGCGGAAGTATTTGTCACACTTCCACTTTACTTCCGCTGGTCTTCTGTGAGGTCGTGGTACTTACCCGGACGGACCTGCCCATTCGTGCAACGGCCGAGGCTGCTGCGTGGCCCTACCAACGTTATAGTAGGATATGCTTATAGTTTATTTTATTTAGCAAACACTATTATTATTATTATATAAATATTTATTTTATTACATGATATGTAATTTTAGATAGATTTAGTCTTGTAAATATTAGATAAAAGCAAACACGAAAAATTATTAAATGAAGAATTTTAAATATTTCCAAAAATTTACTGATATTATCGCGTTTAATTTAACCTTAAATTTCGAAAGTTTCTAAGAATTTGCAAGAAGAAAAAGTTCTACATACAGTTTGTTATCATGTTCTTTGGATACTTCCAGTAAAAATCCCTTCACACTTATCAATCAATTACCTTACAAGAGGCTTTTAGATGATATTTTCACAATTTTACCATCTTATAGAGTTTTTATAGAGAAACTTTTAGAATATCTTAACTCTTTAAGTTCGAAAATACATGTTTTTGGTAAACGATACTCTCTATCTTTCCTAGATATTTTAGTGATACGCAATCCAAATAACACTCAGCTATACCGTGTATAGAAAAACAACTCATTGAAATATCTGGATTGTTAAATGAATTTATTTTACGGATTTTTAGTTTATCTGGGCTAACACAAAACAACTCATGTCCAGTTTCTGAAAGGTCAATCAAAGCAGCAATCACGTTAGCCTTAGGTTTCTGAAAGGTTTGTTCAAGAAAAATTTGCTAATCACTATTTAATCATTGAAAATGAATAAACTGAATAATTTACGTCAATGAATAGGTTCTCTTCTCTTCGTCAAAATCTCTTCTATAAAATTTAAAAACAATGTCTCTACTATCAAGGTAGAGATTGTGTTCATCCTTTTTTCCGTTTAAAATAAATATATAAGATAGAATAACGCTAAACACTTAGGGCCGTTACCGGATACATATTTGGTTTTATCTTGTATTACTAGAAAAGTTATGAACTTGGTACATTAATAAAAGAAAGACGAGATAAATTTAAGCTTTTTTTTACCTATCAGTGGAATTAATTTTATTAATAAAACTGTACTAAATTTCGAATATTCCAACCGACATCTGTTTTTATTTTAAGTCATAAACTTGTACCTAGATAACATTACTAAAACCTTTCAAGCGTGTAATGTGGCCTAGCAGTTTGTTGCTTATACACTACGAACCACGAGACCTATACGCTTACAAAGCTTTGTTCCGGGGTTCTACATCAGTATGTCTTTTATAACCATTGCCTCTATCCTACATTGTTGTCAGAATGAAGCAAAGCCGATAATCAGGAGAAACGCCCAAAAAAACCGTCTTTCTAACTCTGATTAATACAAAATTCTCATAGCTGAGATTTATATAACGTTAGTTCTGTACGATAATATCTGTTTTCATTATTTTGTAATATTTTTCCGTAAACATTCTTATTTAACGCAACTACAAGCACAGGAGATACTGTGATTTTTTTTTAAATATGGACATAGTATGAATTTTAACTTTTCGCTCCAACTGAAATGTAAGTTTTGAAAGATGTTTTCGTAGCCTTAGAGGAAAAAAGATAATAATAAATTATCATATTGGTCCTATATGATAGTTTATTATAAGTAATTAAGTATACTTCAATATTCATTTCTTTTAAAGCGTTTGCAAAGCGTATGAATGTTCTATTTAATGTCATCTTGTATCCTTAAAGTATGAAGGAAGAAGAGCAATAATGGAATTTCGCCCATTACACGCCTTGTTTATTATCATTTAATTGTCTATTGCACAGGTAAGATTCAATTTAAATAATGTGTACGTATCGTTAATCCTGAGCTTAATACGTATAAGCCAAGGACTTAGAGACGTTATTTAGCGTTCCGTAAACTTTAAGAAAATGAATTTCAGCTAAAGCTTCATTTTGTGCCAATAATTTTACCCAATTATTTTTTTAACTTTGAAATAAGCCCAATGCAATTTAAAACAAAGAAATACTGTCACTACATAATATAAAACAAAGTCGTCCCGCTGTCTCTGTCCCTATTTATGCTTAGATCTTTAAAACTACGCAACGGATCTTAATGCGGTTTTTTTTTACTAGATAGAGTGATTCAAGAGGAAGGTTTATATGTATAATACATTGCATACGAAGCCGGGGCGGGTCGCTAGTACAATATAACTTTTAAATCATGTGAGAAGTACTGTAACAATTTTTCCCTTAATAAAAGAAATAATTTTGTATATTTTTTGCTCGCGCTTTCGTACCAATTAATATTTTAACGCCTTAAATGTACGCAAATACTACTTATTTACTAACATTATTTTAAAAAAGTCTGTACCTACCATAAAGGGTGGCAACGCATTTACAACTCCTCCGGTGTTCAGGGACATGTCAATGGACGACGGTGGTACTGTCATACATGGATACTGTGGAGTGAGCCGCATTTTTGTTTGACTAAACGTTTTAAATGTTTACTACGTTAAACTGAAAAAGCTTAATCAAATCTACGACTGCTGTCACGCCTACTCTAATCTGCATTGTAAGTTAAAGACGACTTATAAGAGCTTTATTTGGTTCAACGTTTATTCCAACGCATAATAACCTTAATTTGTGGCAATAAATCCGAGTAAAGAGAAAACGTTAAGGGCTAGAGAATTAAAAAAACTGTATATATGAGTGGGACTGTTAATGTGTGCATCTATCGTCATCAACCCCCGCCACCGGTTTATATTTCTATCGATTAAACTTTTGATTGTATTATTTATTTATTTATTTATTTATTTATTTAAAGGACACCAGCAGTACATGCATTTCACGTTTAAACAATAAGATTACAAAAAAAATTCTGATGTATGTACCTTATTAGGTGACACAGCATTGTTTCAGCTAAATACAAGAATAATCGAGACAATAATGCAAAAATATTTAACAGCAAATAACTTCAGTAAAAATATGAAAAGAAAATAAAAATTAAAGAATTACAAGCAAAAATTCAAAAAGAAAAATAAATTAAAATTAAATTAATAATATTAAAAAAGAATCGACATTAATTAAAACTTATAAAATACAAATAAATTTCATTATTACAATACAGAATGAATACAACAATCTAAATTAAAAAGGAATTATCTGACTAATAATAAAAACATTAACGGACATGACTCAGTATTAATTTCTTAAATTTTATAAAATTTAAATGGAATAAATCCATTCTGGGTAAAACTTATCATCAATTTTCTAGCAATCAGTAGCTTTCAGTAAATTATTTGTTACCTTTCCTAAAACAAAGGGGTGAACGAAAAACTAGGGGTAAACTAAGCCCCGCAATTTTACACCACCTTACGGAAAATCAAATTACCGCATGGCCTACGTTTAAACATTTGGTTATTTATTTAGCATAGGACATAAATATAAAAGCTTATTACAGTATTAAAGAAAATTTCCCGAGGGATGTCCGGATCATGTTGTCAGTTCTTAATTTTATTCAAGAAGTGCATTTGCCAATTTTTTTTTTTTTCAATTTATTGGATTTTTTGGATTTTTTTCGTATGTACAAACATTACAGAAAAATTAGGGAAATCAAGGAAATATACATATATTATCCTTGACACGTTGTTCTCGTAAAATTGAAAGTTTACAATTTTTCAGGTCATTGAGCTTTCTTGAAACTTTTGAAACTTTTTTTAGTGTTTTAATTAAAGTGTTTGTTTAGAGCAAGTATATCTTCTCCCTTCTTATCCTTTAAACGAGCAATTCTTGTGTATATATATATATATATATATATATATATATATATATATAATCGGAATCTCGGAAACGGCTCCAGCGATTTTCATGAAATTTAGTATGTGCGTAGATTCGGGGGCGAAAAATCGATCTAGCTAGGTTTCATTTTTAGAAAATGTCCTTTTATCCCTGTTTGCAAGGAATGAAAAATGTCATTCGAATACGACGGTAAATTTCGCCGCAAAAAAAAAGAAACGGAAGGCCGTGGTTCGTGTCACGATCATTTACACATTTATTTTTTACTTTTTTTTCGATTCCAGATCATTACTTTCTTTATTTTTAATTTTTTTTTTTCGATTTGTTATTTTGTTATTATTTTCCCTTTTTTTTTTAAAGTTCTTTTTTTGTGAAAAACATCTGTTCATATTTTCTTATTATTACGTCGGTAAGATCGAAAAATATTATGCATATTTAATTACTCAGTAATTTGTATCTAAATGTAATTTCCAAAACACACGATTTACTAAAAAAAAACCGAGCAGAGCTCGGTCCTCCGGGTACTTATTAATAACCTTCCAACCTATATACTTAAATAGTTATTAATGACTGTGTGCAGATTCTCAATTATTTCAGCAAACTAATATAATATATAAATAGTAATTTGCGATGAATGTGTTTGATCAAGAGGACTAGAAATACGGAATATCTAATGCTGTGAGCTCGGTCACCCCTTTTAGTAGTTAGTTTAATATTTCACATCAAAAATTTAACTATTATTATAAATTGTTTTCATCTTTAAAACGAGTACTACTATATTTTTTTGTCTTTTCTTTTCTATAACTGAAATAAATTCTTCATGACAAGTCAGCAGCAATGCCAGTTTAAGAGAGTTGATCTGCTATGGATTCTTAAGTATAAATTGGTGAAAAAAATTCAATAGATACTCTTACTTATTTAATAATTTTTTCTCAAAAGTAAGTAACCAGTTTGGCTCAGAGCAGAGATGAGTGGGTTTAAACATGCAGGGGCCTTTAGCATAGAGTCGCATCCATAAGCCTATATGTAACAAATAAACGTTGTATCAAAGGAGTTTTATGTAAAACTCAAAACATTTAACTCTTCGCATTCCTCTGAATGAAAACCTTTAAAAATTAATCAAATTAATAAAAAATGCTATACGCAAATTTCATCTAATTTTTGTTTAATATTGAATATTAATTTCATTCCTACCAATATTCTCCTAATTTTTTTATGTGATAAGGTGGCAATCGGGCATTCACTGCAAATGTACACCCGTAGAGTTGCAAATACGTTGCCCTAACTCCTATATACAATTCTCCTCCCCTACATATGGTTCTCCTATATACAAATGTATTCTGTGATTCCTACGCAAGAATAAGTTACAAAACTCACAATAGAAAGTCTTGTTCCCAACATGGCGCCGGACCCTTCACTGTCACCGTCGTCGACTTGACATTTTGCAGTTTAAGTGTCACGTACGTGTTGAATTGTGTAGCTGCAAACAAAAATGTACCGTCAACTGATGGAAGCAAAGTTAAAAAAGGCGTATTTTATATCATGAGAGCTTGAATGTCAAAGAAGAAAATGTAATAATCATTAAATCTCTCGTCGAATTGAAATAATTATCCTTTTGATAGGAATGGATTTTTGAAGTTTTTATTTGCCTATTACAATTTTAATGTGAATATTATAAAATTGAGAATTTTAAGAACAACTTGACATTGGCGTAATTGTGATAACTCACAAAGCAAGCCATTAATAAAAACAAGAAGAAGAAATCTCTCGTCTTTTTCTCGACACAGACAACGTTTTATATTGTTACATCATATCATTTTGAACCACAATTTATGTTAAATCATTTTACTGACAATAAAAGTAAAATAAACCATCAAACTATACAAAATATTTAAATTTTTAAACACAGCAGTTAGCAGTATTTACGCTGGTATTTCGTAAAAGGTTTTGGTCAACTTTAGTCAAATGAACTGTGCTTGTTGCGAAGTTTAGACCATTTGCCATTACATAAGATGGGTGTCAGACCGAACTCAACTTGCACGCATCAGTTTTGCTTTTGCAATCATAAGCTTTTGCATTAACTACATTTCCGGTATAATTATTCTTACTTTTAGCGGTCAGGAGAAATAAGGTGGGCTATAACCTAAAATCTGTTCAAAATACAAATGATAAAGTAACAATAAGTTTACTCTAATTATCCAATGTGTATGTTAACGTTACACATTATACTGCAGAGCATTCAAAAATTTTGGAACACAAGTATAAATTGAATGCAATAAAACTGTTTCACTTAATGGCTGACATAGTATTGGTTTTACATTAAAATACCACTGGTCTTATTTTCGTCTCGTCTAGAGCGTAACGTTACCGAAGTCCTCCCATATACAAGTTCCAAATACTGATGCAACACGGATGCTGTATGTCCATGAATTACAGTCATCACTTATCACATTTGCCACATTTTTAAATAAAATATTAATCTCATACACATATAAAAGATTTTTTTAAAGATTTTTTTTATGAAACATTTTCAAAGATGGAAACATAAATGTTTCTTACCTTGTATACCAACGAAACGCGCCTTTTTTACTGCAACAAAACAGAAAAAAGAAACAAATTAGTAAAGTGACACAAAATAAAACGTATGAACATTTCTAAAGGAATTTTTAACGTTTGAGTTGTAAATTTATAAGAAATGTTAATTTATACATTACATAAAACGTAAATTTCATCATTCTATAGATAAAGATTCGAATAAAAAGTAATTCTTTATACACTTTGTTTTCGCGTTCTGAGATTAAGCTTAGTAGAATGTTCGTTTTAAAAATATGTTACAACAGTCAATTGGAGGCGTAGCCGAATTTACTATCATTTAATTCAATCGAGATTTTGGGTTAATTGCTACGCGATTGGCTGCGTTTTGCATAATATACCTACATACATAATATGAATGTAACAATTTTTAACTAAACTTCCTAGCTAGCAATAAAACTATATTATAAGACTAATTTTTCTATTTATTATTTTTCAAACAGAAAAAGTAGTATTCTAAACAATATTAAATGCTCATTCGGGATTTAATGAGATTAGAAAGGATCAAAAGTAGTTAAAGAAATTGCATATTTTGTATGCAGAGTTTTATTCATGAAAAATTAACAGTTTCATTTCGTACTGTCAATGCCGCCATTATATACTTGTCTTCAATCAGGCTGTTTTTACATAGCTATTGTTTTATGTATTAAAAAATAAAAAAACAAAATGCCTATGTTTTAGCATTATTTGCTTGAGAAACACAATGTATACTCTGGACTATTGTGTAAATGTGACTTCCAACTTCGACATCCGTTCTGTGGTTCACGTCCGTTCATGACTTTAAATGAAAAAACTCACTCTACAGTATAAACTGACCGGACTTAACCGTCGAAGGCTTGTTTAAACACTGCCCAGACAAAGACGGGTTAAAATAACTATTAAATTATGCCTTCTTACGTTAGTTTAAAAAAATCATTTAATGTGTTCGAATATTTTAAACTAATATTGAATTATAAATATTAGAAAATTCAAAACTAACTTTATCAATCGCATAAGATTTTGACAGATTTGATTCTGCGAACGTCTAGAACCCTTTGAAATTACCCCGCGGTCTCGTTTTTTATTAGATAATAGAGTTTTAAATAACATTGTACGAGCAAAAAATTACGTACAGTAACGTATAGTAAGTAACACGCTATTTTGTAGTTGTTCCACCCCATTCTATCCACCTCCCTGTCCTTGGAAACATTAGCATGAAACCCAGCAATAACCCAGTTACCTTTTTAGAAATATAAAATGAGCATTAATTCGAGCTACCAACAAGTATAAACACATGGGCAGATCTTTAAATTTGTACGACTTCTTTCTTTAACTTTAAACGATTACATAACCGAGTATATAGTGCAGTGCGGATTAGCTGTTCTTTAATAGGTAATTAAGATACCCCCTTTTAAATTGTTCACGTTCAATTTAAAGTTATTGTATGTTATGTACATAATAGCTACATGAACTTAAGATGGTATTTGTGTCAATGCCGTAAGAACGACAATAGTGTAAATTTCTGAGCGATGCCGCCCATGGATGTCTTCAACATCTCGAGAGTTGCAGATGTGTTGCAAACCTTTAAAAGAGTGGATTCCGGATACCTCACTCAACACACGTAACGCAAAGGAGCCTACATGGCTGCAATAGCGAAAGCTACTACGTGGTCATGCCACATTAAGAGCAGTAACAGTTGAAGCACGCGTTTATTGTACTAGATTGTTTGTTATAAAACTAAATCATACAGTCTAAAACAATATAATAGCTAGTCATAGGTTTAGCTATGTAAGGAGTTGTTGCGTGCACCACGTCATTTACCAGAATAACCCTAAAATCGATGACGTTAGTACGCCTTGAAGCTTGTTATGGTTCTTATAATTAATGGTGTTATAAAAATAACGTTATGAATTGTGAATTGTGAAAGCATTTATTAATCATAAACACACAATGGTTCTAATAAATATACCTCAAATATTTTTAATACACACCATGCATAAACCCATAGGTAATTTAAGAAATTGTCTTGCTTAACATGATTTAAAACAACATAGAACATTTATCTACTCATCTTGGGCTATAAACCTAATTAGGCTCAGGGAGTCCTTATTAGTCTCACCGAATCCGAATTCAACATCTACAGAGGTTTTGTTGCACTTGGTCATCCTCAAATTAAAAGTAAAAAATTATGATACCCCCCCCCCCCCCCCCATCTCTCCCTAGATGGAGTGACGACCTGTGCAAATGTGCGGGAAGTCCATGGATGCAGTTGGCTCAATATTTTAATTTGTGGCAGTCTATGGGGGAGCCCTATGTTCAGCGGTAGACTCAAACCGGCTGAAATGATGATTCAAAAATCAACAAAAATCCGAATAATTCTTTTTAAAACAAAGAAGCATATTTTATTAATATTTCGATTTTCCGCTATGCACTGGCTCTATTAACTGCTACAATGATAACGAGTAAACAAAACAAAATATTTATTAACATGTTTATGTCGAAAATAAGGTGCCAACAAGTTTAGAAATTATGTATTAAAGTGAACTATGTTCATATGTTGACGTCGAAAAAATATTTATTAACATGTTTACTTCGAAAATAAGGTACCAACTATTTTAGAAATTATGTATTGAAAAAAGCTATGTTAATATGTTTACGTCGAAAACAAGGTACTCGTTTAAAATTAATATATTAAAGTAAACTATGGTGATTTTATGTCCGCACAAATGCTGTCTTATAACATTCACAATTCCTCGCGCGACTCAAATCGCCGACATGACAGTGAATCCCCAGGCTAATGTTACAATTTAGATGCGTGTCTAATATAGGTTCAACCGAATATTCGACAATAGTTCTATATTCGAATAGTGAATGATCGGTACGAGGCAGTTTTTTTTTTTTTTTTTTTTTTTTTCATTAATGTTATTACGGTTTTTCCGGATCATAAATAGTATTATTAAATGAAATCTTAAAATATGTACCATTTAAGTGTACACTTATTCGGCTAACCGAATATTTGGCCCAATGTAAACGTTAAAAGTACACGACTATTTGACGACCTAACGGATTATGGAGCAATCACTTGCGCCAGAGGTTGACGCTTCAATTTCCAATCCTGGAGTAGCATTGTATGATGATCACAGTGTTTTCCTAGTGCCTGGCTATTTAAATATCTATATTAACGTGAATTTATTTACAAAAATGTATGTTTACAAATACGTACCAAATACCCATAGCCAAAGCTTTGCCTAGTTTAAAACTAGACAACTTTGTGTAAAAAATATTAACAAAAGTATTAGGTAAAACTATGAATTTAGAGCTAACGATTTTTATAGACTTATAATAATTGCCATACCCAGATAAAGTTTAGTGAAGGGAGGTACCCATGATTTCCTTTGGAAACGGAAAGTTATACGCGTTTCTAATGCAGTCTTAAAGCACCCAGGGGAAAAGAGCAGCACTCACACTCAAAACAAATATGAGAAAAATAACTAGAACTTCAATTTCATGGACTTCATGAATGAAGTATGTTCAATATTCAAGTTTTACGCGTGTTATTGCGCTAATTCAAATAACTAGGATGCAACGTCATTAAAACTATCATCTAACTTCTAAGCTTATAATCAACTATGGTAGCGGGAAAGTTAGCGCATAAATATTGCTACACGTACAAATTTTAAAATGTATCCTGCGGAATACCAAGGATCTTGTTACTTTGCGCCTATACTAAAAACAAAACGGATTGGTTTTAAACTAGTATCACCTAAGTTAACACGGGACAACGCCAAACCCAATTTATTTATAAAACTTGCAGTTTTATTAATTTTTTCTAACGCATTAGATGTATTGTCACCTATTTAGATATATTCGTTTCGAATCATTAATCGAAAGATGCAGAAAGTGATCGGCATATAGTTTTTTCCATAAACTACTTGTAGGGAGTATAAATGTATTTAAAGCTTTAAACGAAAAATTTTAAAACCTTTCATTACAGCCGACTTCAGTGTTCCTCACTTTTAAAATATCCTCGTAAATGCAGGAAATATAATGAACAAAGTGGAATAAAACTTCGTTGAAATTACAAAAATAAACATGCAGGGTATAAGTTTAACAGCAAATTGGTCGCTTCAAAGCGGAAACTTACTCAGTGAAAAGATTTCGCCTGTTTACCGGAGCTTTATATTTAAGAAGTATGCAATACATACACCTTGATCATATTACTTTTATAAAAAAATGTATGTTGTATGTTCAATCGGTAACAGTTGTCAGTAGCGGTGCGCCGGATATGGGTTATTCGAAGTATTTACATTTACATTTAGCACAAAATGTACTTAACCAAATTATTCAGTTCATTATGCCACAATAAACTACGAGTGACGGCATTAATCCGACTCTATAAAGTTGCAAGATTTAGCAGATCTTCGTTTTTTTATGTTTGTTGAACAAAGTGACTATTACTTTAATTGCTAGATGATAACTAAAGTTCTTCTTTTGTTAGAACTTATGAATTTTATCTACGTTGAATTATGAAATGTATAAACGTTGAATTATGGATGTATCAAATAGGTGATACGAGTAAATTATAATTGTACATTTCATAGAATGATCATTGTAAGCGAATAATTACTCCACCTTTTAAAATAAGAATTTGATATATTTTTTTAAATAAAAGCTGAATTATGCTCGTATTAACCACGGAAAAGCGGAACATAGTAAAATACTCATAAAATTATTTGATACTTTCTTTTAAGTTCTATTAACCATTTTACCTAGATTTTTTTCATTATATATAGTGCAACTACATCAGCTTTGTAGGACTAAAATTGATTATATTTATTTTATCATCTAATTAAAATACTTATATGTAAATTTTTAAGAATTATCGAATGTGTTATGATAATAGTTTATTTAATGTCATTGTATGATAGTTATACGTCTTGAATTAAACGTTTACCAAGAGGGTAGTTTTAGTTGTCTCCCTTGTCCCCGCGCAAATAAATTACCGGCCCAAACGACAAGTTCAAGGTTCCACGAATTTCTTTGTTGTACAACAAACAAAGCCTAAATTCTGAATAAATAAACATTTTGTGCTAGTTTTCCTAAAATAGAAACACATTTTACACACAATTTTACACATATTATAATCGGTTATTATCGTTACATTTCATGGAAATATCTTGCTTTAAGGAGGCAAAACTACTACGAGCTATGTAGTAACTATATCTTATATAGTTACTACACTATCCTTACGTATTTGCCTGTTTAATAATAAATCTTCTTATATATAAAAATGGATTGCTGTTCGTTAGTATCGCTAAAACTCGAGAACGGTTGGACCGATTTGGCTAATTTTGGTTTGGAAATAAGGCAGTCCAGGGAGATGAGAAATTAAAGAAGAAGATTAAACGAGGAGAAATTATGGAAAAATTGCATGAAAAATCTAAATAGCAACAATTTTATTATCCCATACAAACTGTACCTGAAGTCTGTGTGTCAATTAGTCAATTAGTCAAACACTTTACGTTCCGATTCCTCTAGAAATAATTTATAAGGCAAAACAACGTTTGCCGAGACAGCTAGTATTTAATAGAAAATTATATGTCGAGCTGATTTCAAAAATAATATAGAATTATAATTACTAATTTTTCTATGAATATTCAAGCAAAATAACCTATGATTATGCAACATTCATTGATAAAAATTCTGTTAATTATATAATCCAACATTTCTGTTAATTATATAATCCTGGATATTAACGTATCAAAACCCGTTGCTAAGCACAATGAATCCATTAAATAAAGCGTGTTCTCCTCTCCTTTCACATTTCGAATAATCTCCAGCAAGTTATATTAAATAAGAGGATTACTCAGGAGGAATTCAGTGACATACACACTTACAAAAGAATTATATATAAAGATAGTATGGAAAGTTCAATATTTGCGAAAATTAAAAACTGTTTATTTCTTAACAGTGAATTTTTATTTTTAATCATATAACCAACAAAGTCACAACAAAATACGGTGTAATTTTTCAAATTACAATGTATTATAAAGTGTTTTTTTTTTTACTTGTATGAACTAATTCTATTAAAATTTTCAATAATTCAAATTAAGACACGCTATACTTTATTCAACAGCTTAAATTTTTAGCAAGCAATCTCTTATGACAACTTAAGAACAATTTACGTTTCAAAGCCAGTTAATATGCTTAAAAATGTTTTAATTGTTTCTTAAAAAAGAACAATATTCAAGCACTTTTGAATATTTGTAACTGATTCAAAATTTCAAAAGTTAATTGTAACGAGACATACTGTACATTCCGTCATCCTTTTGTATCCTTACACGTCCATAAATCTGCGTCTACGTTAAATATACGTCTTTTACGGGCACATATGAACGTATAAACAATACAAGTCTATTTTTACTAACGCAAAACAAAACCGACTTCAAATATCTCGCTCCGTGTTCATTTTATAATTGATTTTTAGGAGTTCCCTAAGTATCTCCGGAGCCCAAGATCCAATACCAATGAAATTAATATGGGACCACGTGGGAAGCCAGCCACCGGCTTTCAAATAAAAAAAGAATCATCACAATCACTCCACTCAGTGGAAAGTTCTGAGTAAATACAGTCAAATTGAGAGCCTCCACCTTTTGAAGTCAAAGTTAAAGCAACCTCTATTAACTTCTAGGATTTTAATCATAAAATAGGAACCATGAAAATAATATAATAACAATTCCAGCTGGATTAATTCCTGCTGCTGGATTTCACCACTCTATGACGCGTCAAACTGCCAAATACCATCGCTAGAACCTAAATGGTTGGCCACACCACTGTGTTTTTTTTTTTCTGCCACGCACAACCCGGTTGTGGAATCAGTTGTAGCGATATTTCCGGACCGATACGAATGAGGGACCTTCAAGAATAGAATCCGTTCCTTCCTCAAAGGCCGGTTACACATTTGTGACTCTTCTCTTCTTCGATGACTACTTACCATCAGGTCGGCAGATATCTCATTAACCTCCATTTCCATAAAAAAATTTAAATAACAAGCTAATAACTCTTAGAGGTCTCCATTACGGTCAGTCAATCAGCAACAGACGCCACTGCGTAACTCTACCCTGGAGTTACGCAATGGCGCCAATCGTGTCAATATTAACTTCAT